GACGTAGACTCCCCAAACCCGTATGTCTGGCAATCATGCATTACATTACATGACACTACAATATGCATGAAAGTATATTTATTAACTTATGCTTTATGAAAATGATTTTAATTGTATCAGAATAGAATTGAAAATGATTAAATGTTTTTGGTGTCTAACTAAAATTATATATCTCATTGAGACGAAAGTCTTATGTATTCTCTTTTATTGTAGATAACATGTATTTAAGTACTAAAGTGAATTAATGGTTATATAGACTACTAGCATAGATCTTTTGGACCACAAGACATACTTTCGAGGATTTAGAAATTGAAAGCATCCTCTAGGACTAAAATGATATAGTTTTGGAGTGTCACATAATGATCTATTTTGGGTAAGATATTCCCATGCGTTTAAGTAGACAGTTGCATGATATTACTTAAAAAGTTTAAATAGATAAGGTTAGGATTAAGTTATTTCAACTTGTTTAATGTTTTAACATGTCATGGTCTAACACATTTACAATGTCTAAACTATATTTTAAATCTACCATAAAGTCGACATAAAGTAAACGAATTTAGGTAAAAGAAACTACAACTTATTTAATTAAATTAGTCTAAATAAGATATTTCAACTTAGGGAAATGACTTATAAATGTAACGAATTATTACTTTTGTTTCATATATTGTCACTTGTACATTATTTATCGATAAACTCTTATTTTGTGTTCAAAAACTACCCTTACAACCGGTTATTATAGGTTAAAGCCTACTTTTTATCTATGTGACATTCAAGAGTAGCCGTTAGAAGAAGTCAAATGTAATCAGCAATGATGTCCATTCTCTATTTCTCTTTATACCATTAAAAAATGTTTCATTGTCAAGGCAATAGTAAAAATCTTGTGAAGTTGCAACTCTTGTTAGTTAAATTTTCAAGAAAGGCTACAATTCATGTAAACCCCATAGTTTTTAAATCGACATCTCTTACAAGAATAGTTTTTGAACATAAAATGTAAATTTATTGGTAACTAGTGTAGGATCTTATGCGTTGCATGGGTTAGATAGGTGTTTTTTTTTTTTTTTTGTGGAATGTATATGTTTGAATGAATTGAAGGGACAAAATGGATGGTAAGAGTTGAAAGCTTAACATTCATAATATTGAGATCTTCGTTATGTTTGATGAGTCAGGTATAGGTCGTAGCTTTTGTAAATTGGTTTGGAAATTGTTTGATACAATTTATAGACATACGCATTTTGTTTAAGAAGTAATATTGTTTTTTAATGGATTGATAGTCAGAGCGAGTAAGGTAACTACGTTATTTTATTTAATATTTTGTGGACAAGCATTGAATTACATACATATGCACTACACGAAAAGAACATGGATTTTTAGTTGAGAATGTGAGTTGCTATTATCCTCTACCGAATTGAAGAAACAATGGGAAACAAGGGCGAAAACAAACTAATAAAAACATAAACTATCAGAGAAATGACGTAACAGGAGGAGGGTAACAGGTAAAAAGATATCGATTTTTTTTTACCATAAGCAGTGTTGCTAAGGATATTGGGTTTTAATTATATGTTTAATAACATAAAAAAAAAAAAAATAACCAAATATTAAAAAAAGAAAAAATATATATATACCATTTGCTTTGACAGCTGTGGATCATTCATTGACTATCAGAGAAATGACGTAATCCCTTTCATATTACTCCGGACTCCACTTTTTGAGTTATCGAAGCAGGCTGAACCGCCGGCTGATACGACGGTGACGGCGAACGCGAAGTCAAGGTATGATATACCAACTGTTTTTAGTTTATAATATCCTTGCACATCGGTTAATTGCTTTAAATCCTAGTGTTTCAATCGGAACAATCGTTCATCATTGCTTCTTAGTTTGTAACTGAAGATTCGAACTTACCACTTTAGTTAGTCAACCAGGTGATCAGGTCCTGAAAGTTTGTGAATTAAATGATTTCTTTTGAATCAAACATGATTAGTTATTAACTCCATGTCATCTAACGAATCTACGTATACAAATTGTTAGGTTAGGTCTATTCCTAAATTGAAATGAAAAAGGAAAACCATCTAACAATAACATCGAGTTTTCTACTTATTAACTTTTAATTAATACACAGGCATAAAATTAGGGTATTATCCTTGGAGTAGAGCTGATTCGAGTAAGTTTCTACAATGGATTCAACATCTTCTTGTGAATCGGGTTATGATGTATTTGTGAGTTACAGAGACGAAGACCTCCGCAAAACTTTCATGGATCATCTCTTTAGTGATTTCAAAAGAAAAGGAATTTATACTTATCGGGACAATGATGAGTTAAGTAGAGGAGAAGAAACATGTTCTGAATCCTACAACGCCATTGAACAATCAAGGTTTTTGATAGTAATCTTCTCACACAACTATGCTTCATCAACATTATGTTTGAAAGAACTTGTGAAAATCCTTGAGTGTAAGGAGAGAGATAAGGACAAGTATGAAGTCAGGTGTATCTTTTATGATGTGAAGCCAGGAGTTGTTCGCAATCAAACTGGGAGCTACAAAGAAGCAATCATGAAGCATGAAGCTTCAAATGAAACAGAGGTTTTTAAATGGAAGCAAGCTTTGACCTCAGCTGCAAACTTATCTGGATGGGATCTCCATGATATGACCAATGGGTAATCCATAAAACCTAATTCCATCAACTTTTACATCATTAATTACAAAACTTAGCAACTGTTTACTCTTTACTCTGTTAGATTCAGACTGTTTGATTTCAACCTTATGTTGTGCTACTTTTTATGGTTTTGTAGGAATGTGTCAAAGTTCATTGATATAATCTCAAAGGACATATTTTATAAACTAATTGATGGGCCCATACATGTTGGCAACAACCTAGTTGGATTGTACACTCGTGCACATGAAATGAACTTGTTACAATTTGTGGGGTCAAATAAAGTCAACATGATAGGAATATGTGGCATTGGAGGAATAGGAAAAACAACAGTTGCAAAAGCTATTTATAACCTTTTATATAAACATTTTGAAGGACATAGTTTTTGTGAAGATGTGAAAGGCATAGTGAATCAAAATGGGCTTGTTTATCTTCAAACAAAACTTCTTGATGACATCATGAAAAGTTGGGATTCAAGAAAACAAAGTGTTGGTGAAGGGGTGAGCATAATGAAGAAAAGAATGCAAGCTAGAAAGGTCTTAATTGTCCTTGATGATGTGGATCATTATAGTCAACTCGAAGCTGTGGCTGGAAATCATGATTGGTTTAACCCTGGAAGCATGATTGTGGTAACAAGTAGAGATAAACAGTTGTTGAATGAGTATCAAGTTGAACATATTTACGAGATTGCCCTTTTGAATAATGATGAAGCTCTCGAGTTGTTTAGTTTGTATGCTTTTAAAGATAAACATCCGAAAGTTGAGTTTGTTGAACTTGTTGATAGGATTCTTCACTATGTTAATGGACTCCCTTTTGCTTTAAAGACTTATGGAAGTATTTTGTTCAACAAGAGTTTATATGAATGGGAAAAGGAGATAAATAAACTTGAAAGAACTCCTCATGTTCTTATACTTAATCTTCTTAGAGTAAGTTATGATGGGCTAGATAGGGATCAAAAAAACATTTTTCTTGATATCGCGTGTTTCTTCAAAGGAGAAAAGAAAGATTATGTGATGAAAATTCTTGATGGGTGTGAATCATATTTAGCAACTAATCTAAGAGTTTTAGTTGATAAGTCATTGATAAGTATATGTGATGATAGGATACAAATGCATAATTTAGTTCAAAAAATGGGGTGGAATATAGTGATTGAAGAATGTGAAGAACATGGGAAAAGGAGTAGGTTATGGTGTCCTATAGATGTGTGTGATGTGCTTGAAAATGATAAGGGAAGTGATTTGGTTAAAGGGATTGCAATTGATGTTTCATGTTCAAAAGTCAATATTTGTGGTCAAAGCTTTAGAAAGTTGACTAATCTTCGATTGTTGAACATATATATTGGAGACTTGAGTAAGTATGAAGGCGTAAAACACACGAATGAATTGAGAAAAAAGAGTAATGAGATTGAATTTTTATCAAGTGAACTACAATTGCTTTGTTGGCATGGGTATCCTTTTGAGAATTTACCAAAAACTTTTAACCCTGAGAGCCTTTTAGTTCTTGATCTATCTTATAGTTGCATCAAACAAATATGGAATGGATTTCTAAAACATGGTTTTGAAAATCTAACATTATTGAAGCTTAGTCATTGTTGCAACTTAAGGAAGACACCTGACTTTACCAAAACTCCAAATCTAAAGGAACTAATACTTGATGGATGTGAGAATCTAGTGCAAATCCACCCTTCAATTGGAACTTTAAAGATGCTTGTTTTCATAAACTTGAAAAACTGCAAAAACCTTGAGATATTTCCTAATATAAATGAATTGGTGTCACTTCAATATTTGATTCTCTCTGGATGCACAAAATTGGAAAGATTTGAGCCTAAAACATGGCATTCGTTCTTTTCGCTTTCGTATACTTTAAGAAGATTTCATCCACATGTGGGTTTAATGTTGCCTTGTTTGTCAAATTTATGTTCACTAAGAACTTTAGATTGTAGTTATTGCAATCTATTAGGTAATAGTGTAAGGAATCTGGAAAGTTTATGTTCACTTGAAGAGTTGGATTTGAGTGGGAATGATTTTACACATATAGATGCTGACTTTGGTCAACTCTCTCGGCTTACGTGTCTTCGACTGATTGGTTGTAAGAATCTTGAAACTCTGCCACAACTTCCTTCATCCTTACTTAAACTTGAAGCACACAATTGCATCTCACTCCAAGAGCTACCAAAGCTTTCAACCGTTTAAATGTATGAATAATGCTATGAAAAGTTAGTGGTATGTACAAACTTTATTAAAATATTAACCATTTACTTTTTTTAATTCAATGAATTAGTAATTTAAGGCATATTTTCTAAACTATTTTGGTTTAAATATTTAATTGATATAATGTTACCATTTCGCATATATTGTTAGACAGAAATTGGAGACACGATATTTCTTAAAACATGATGCATTCATTAAAAACTAACAAATAAACTGCATACACAAAAGCCAAAGAAACTATTCAGATCTCTCTGTGCACCATGAAAGCTAACATCTAATCAATACTATTTTATGACCATAACAACCAAGCCAAAATTATCCATAGCTAAAGAAGATCTACATTATGCTAATATTATCATCAAGAACCTACAAAACAGATTTAACTAATGATTCTACATCATATAAAACCCACTTCAATCATCATCTTCATCCTACAGAAAAATCAACAGATTAATCAGACCATTGAATTAAACAGTTTACACAAACATACACGCTTAGATCATTGAAATCGTACCTCATCACTTCCTTCCTCGTCTTCCTCGTTATTTACTTCAGACTTTGACTTATCAGAATCATCATCCTCATCATTAGCACCACCAGCCTGGTTTTACACAGCAAATACACAATCAGAAACACAGAACTGGATGTTTCAACATTTAAACGTAGCGTCGAACAATGGTTACCAGTTTTTTGTTGTAAACATCGATGTTTTTCTCGTATTCCTTCTTTCGTTTGTCAGCTTTGGCAACGAAAGGCGCCTTCTCCTGAAAGTTTATACAGAACAAATCAGAATTGACAGATCTAGAAGCGATTTTTGAGGTAAAATGTAGAAATAAACTTCTGCTTACAGATTCAGACATCGATTTCCATTTTGTTCCACCTGCTTTCCCAACCTGATCATTGTTTATACAATCAAATCAGCAAAAGTAAAACAAACGGAATTTCAAAACAATTATAGATTTGAAGTAATTGGCTAGAAATACTCACTGCAGCAACAGACTTATTGTCGGGATGCTCCTCCTTGTACTGCTTCCTGAAGTCCTCCCTGATCATCTCACAAACGCGACAAATTCATACACCTAATGAAAAAACTGAGGAGTAAATTGAAATCGACATTAAAGACGATGTTTACATGAAGACGAAAAACGCGCTAGCAGGTCTCTTAGGCTTGTTCGGATCCTTGGCAGCCTTTCCCTTAGCCGCAGTTTTCTTCACTGTGAGCCTAAACCAAAACCAAAACAAACGTTATAGAACACAACATAGAGCTATAATGCAGGAGAAATACAATAATGGATCTCAACAGAGCTAAATCTATAAGAAACGACGAAAAAAATGATAGATAAAATCATACTTGCTATCAGCCTTCTTCGTCGATTTTGCTCCTTTCATTGTTAGATCCTGAAATCAACCAAGAATAACAACAAAATTAATGGAGAAACGTTCAAAATATCAGAATTATGACGAGATAACGTATAAGGCAACGAATCTAACGTACCGAATGGACTAAGGATTTTAGGGTTAGGGTTTGTTCTTTTGAGATGAAGGCTGAGTAAAGGTGAGAAAGGGGTGGATTTATATTAGGTGATTGGGCGGGATTCAAAAAAATAGGGGGTTTTGTATTTTCATTTTGGATTCCCGCGCTTTTGGACTCATGTATTTTCCCCCTCAAATCTTAAAGCATTTAGGTTTTCAGCACGTTTAGGATATATGTTTTTTTTTTAAATCAATATTTCATTTTACATGTAATTTAATAAAATTTACTTAACTATTTAGTTAAATGTATAAAAAAATATATTAACAAATTAACCATAGGGGCTTAGAGGGTTGGCAAAGTGGGCAGCTGCACAGGGTCTAATTTTTTTTATTATATATTTTTATTTAAAAATACAAAATTATAATAAAGATAAGGGTCCTTTTTATTCTTGTTCGTCCTGGGTTTTTAAAAATATTTCATTTTTCAGGACCGACTCTGAAATTAACGTAGATGAAACTTTAGAGCATAAATGGGTAATAGCTACAACTATAATTTATATTTCAAGAAGGTTGTTAAAACAAATAAAATGTCGTTTGTGGTACATGTAATGTTGGGTTTCTTGATTCAAAACGTTTATCTATAATATTATAAAATGTTTGTAAAATCTAATATCCCGGATCGTGTTGGGTTTTTTATTCAAAATGTATTAATATAATGTAAGAAATATACATGTAAAGTCTTGTAATTCTGGTGATATAGGGTTTCTTGATTGAAAACATATAACTATAACATGATAAAAATATATGTCAAAATTTTTATCTCTGGGTGGTTTCTTGATTTAAAACGTACTAATATAATATAAGAAAAATGTGTGTAAATCTTATGTCTCGTCTAATTATGATATTTTAGGTAGCAAAATGTTTTCTTGTTGGACTAGTTAAAAACCGGAGGATCAATCAAATATTCTTTGATTTCGAGCGATGCATTAGTTTTATTGCACATTACATATACATATAAATAAGGTGTATGTTGTTCTATGTCATAAAAAAAGAGCTTAAACGTATATATTGAACTTGTTAAATTGTTGTGATAATTGTTTTTAAAGTAATTACATATGGATTCAAAATAATGTTACGAGGGTTATTTTATGTGCAATCTTTGATTAGAAGTTCCACTTGTTTAAGATGTATGTTATTGACTTCGAAGAGCAATGTATTCATCTTAATTACAACGTTTAGAAGAAAAAAAATGTATTGCCTAGAACCATTCTACCTACATTTTGGTAAGTTATCTTAAATTTCGTGGATACAATGTAGTTATGGTGTGTGTTCTATGTGATGTTATATATGTAGTGTGGAAGCACATCAAAATGTTTATTCGGGTCTTTAATTTATGGTTATCATCCATGCAAGGAGATATCACGGCATGTTACGTGAGATAATGATTGTTGATAAATCTAAGTTTATTTACGATGATCGAAACAAGTATAACTTTTAAATAGTAGCGTATCATTTATTGGTATTGTCTATTATTTACAAATTTTCTTATAAACGCAAAACTATATATCTTTAAAATATGCAACCATAACGCGGCTATTTACTGAAACATTTATTACAAAAATTTCTTAAATTGTATGCAATATGTTGAGTATCTTTTCTAGAATGTTTGTATATTAAGATGGCTTTGATGGTTGGACCCAAATTCATAAATAACGTTGTTCAATTGTCATTGTCTACCTACCAAGTAGTTTAAAACATTTTATTTTTACATTTATTATCTATTTAATAGTCTTGATATTTGAGATTCTTATAACAAACTAACTCATTAAATTTATCTAAAGTTTTTCTTCATATACCAGCTAAACCTAGAATATTGTCCAATAAGTCTTTGGCACATTACATTTAAGACGGTGTTAGCATTACAGAGTTTAATGAACTGATGCATCATCAATTTATATTTTACTAATTTATCAATAAAAATATAATATATTAAACTTTACAAAACTCAATAAAACATATTTATAATAATTGTATAAAGTTTTATGTTTTTGTTGAAGTTCACTAGTCATTAAATTTTGTATCCATTATATATCATAATAACATCTTATAATTGTAATGTAACGTCCATAAAAAATTATGTTAAATTTAAACTTTTTAAAATATTTTCAAATCAACGATTATTACAATACATGATTTGTTTGCATAAAAATTAAAAACCTAAAAACATAATATTAAAATGGTGGGCAAAGTCGTGATTTGTCATCTTCGCTACAGCTCCCTCTTTGGCCTTTTCTGCGTCGTCTTTGAAATTTGACAATTGCTACACGTGGAACATGAATTTAGAAATACTAAATCCGACAAACCACAATAGTCTGAGGTCAAAAGCATGCTAAACAAATATAATAAAACCGTATCATATATGACATGTATAAATAAGTAATATTTTTTAAGTTAATGAATGGAAGTTCAAATAATAAAAACATATCATATGTGATACGGTTTACACGTATAAAAATAAGCACGGAAATATTTAAAAAAAATACATTTAAATGTAGACAGACTCGAATTTATATCCCGACAGGTGCATTAATTTTTTTTTTTAATAAACGAACTAAAGTTCTAAATTTATACCGAAACAATTTAAGTTGAAACATTGATCACCTCTAATTTATACCAATACATAAGAAATGTTAGAAAAATTAGATGGGTGATAACTGTAGGAAAATTAGACTATACATATTATGGGAGATAAAACAAAAGTTTAGAAAATAAAAGGGGTGAAATTGATATTTTCTAAAGTTCAAATACAAGGATAAATATGATATTTTAAAATGTGAAAGGTTGAAAATGGTATTTACTAAAGTATGAGGATAATAGTGATAGAAACTTAATAGGATGATTTAAATTGCCAAAAGCTAAAAATGATTAAAGAGTGAAAATGAAAAATATGAATAGTTGAAAGGAGTAAAAACAAAAGAAACTTAGTAGGGGGGCCTAAATTGCCAAAAATAAAAAATGATTGAAGAGTTAAAATGAAAAATACACAAAAGTTGAAGGGAGTAAAAGCAAAAGAAGTGACCACCAACTTTGGTATTTAGAATAGTTATAATAATTAAAGAGCATCCCCGTAATCAAATCATAAAAATATAAGGAGGTGCACGATCACGCCTTCGCCTTCCCGCGATCATCAAAAGTACCTGAAATATAATCAACAACTGTAAGCTCGAAGCTTAGTAAGTTCCCCCAAAAGACAAACGACATACAAATATAACCATATCATGTAAACAAATAAGCAACAACATGCATAATGAGCCATCAGTCTGACTGTACCGCCTCCCCATGCCTTCAGTCTATCTGGACCGCTCTCTGAGCCTTTGGCACGTCTGGACCGCCCCTTAGGGCCTTCAGCCTATCCGGACCGCTCGTTGGGCCTTTGGCCTTACTAGATTTGCCAAGCCCGGGCTTGCAGTCTACCCGGTCCGCCCTAGGTGTCTTGGCATACTACATACAACAGGACCTTACTAGATTTGCTTGAACTTGTTCTGTTGGAGGAGTGGTAGTTCGGGAAAGTCTGCTGAGTATATAGTGGTAAGGTTTCGGAGGGCAAGGTACTCCTCGCATGAGTACTTCGGGGTTTAGAAGACAAGAGACAATATTGAGGTATAGGTTGGGTTGTCGTTACGAATGACGATGGTTTCGTGAATTTAACGGTCAAAGCGATGGAATTTCGAAACATATGAACTTAGTATGGTGAGGACCACGCCAATCCATGACGAATGATGACAGCGGACTCTTTACAGAAACAAAAGTTAGGCCGATTTGAAAGAAACATTTGTTATACGATGGTGTATCCCGAGTGTGCTCGACAATGTATTTTGTGTAGACTTTCTAGTGCTTTAAGTTTTCTCCTTGATAATACCATTGCCACAAACCGTACCGCGATAAGCGAGTACTAACAGTGACAGTGCTTTGATCACTAGTGTTGATACTCTATATTATGATCCTCCTCAATAATTCTATGATCGCCTGACATATGTATATTTAAGATGAATAAGATGGTCGAGTGAGTGACTCTGCCCCAAATCCATAACCAGACAAGGAACAGGATTTAAGGCGGAATCACTCATTCTAAGTCTGCAAAATTCTCGCTATGCACAACCCTGATGTACATACTAAGCCATCATAGCTCACTTGTACGAATCTTTAGTTCTCTTATGAATGTTGTGACTTGTTCAGACAAGTGAGTTATTATAATCACTTTTAAATGTTTCCCTAAGTTTTAATATAAATATAAATTAAATTTTAAAGCAATTCTTATTTCGAAGACATACCGCTCGTCGCTGGTGACTTCGGGGCAGCTTATCCTGCGGTGATCTTCAGAATTCGTCCATTCGCGGTTGAGTTCTTTGTTATTGGGCAGTCCCTCTTGTAATTCCCACTCTCACCACAACTATATCAGGCTTGGTTTAATTTTACTCCGGGGACTTGGGAGATCGGTTGTGTCGGCGCCCTACAAAAAGGGGCTATGTGCCCCTTCCTGCGGCAGTTCATGCACTGCATTTCCCGACATACTCCGGTGTGGTGGTAGTTACACTTTCCACACTTCGGGAGAGTTCCAGCATATCGATTGACAGGTGCTGGAGTAGCAGGTGTTGTGGCGGTGTATACAGTAACCATTTGTTGCTCATTCGAGGGTTCCTGTGTTGTTTGCTCTTTCCTCTTTTTCCCTGAATGTTGTTTATAGCCTCCTCCCTTTGATGGCTTGGGAATGGGGATTACCACGCCATTGCAAATTCCATGGTCAATGAATCGGTGGGTCAGGTGTTTGGCACTATTGAAGGTAGTTGGGTTAGAAGACAATGCATCTCCTTGAACCGGGGAAGATAACCCCCAGACGTACCTTTCTATCTTCTTACTCCCCGGGGTAACCATCCTGGGACACAGTGTTGCCAGGTCGCTAAACTTGTCAATGTAAGCCACTATGTTTGAGCCGACCATGGTATGTTCCCATAGCTCTTGTTCCAGCTTTTAAACTTCGCCCCTTGGGCAGTATTCTTCCAACACCATCTCTTTCAGGTTCTCATAGCCTATCGAGTTAGCCACTGATAGGGTCAGCGACTTAACATGGCTATTCCACCATGTTAGGGCTCTATCGGAGAAGGTACCGGTAGCAAACTTCACTTTGCTCCCTTATGGGCACAGACAAATTTCGAAGACCGAATTTGTTTTCTCGAACCATCACATCAGATCAATGACTCCCCCATTTACATTAAAGGATTCGGGTTTGCAGTTCATGAAGTCCTTATACGAACACTCTCGTGGGTGTCCATAGGCAACTTCGGGGTTAGATAGGTGGGTACCGCTACCAGATCCACTGGTACCATTTGCACGGATCTGAGTTATGACAACCGTTGTTGCGGCTGTTACCGCTATTTGGAAAGCAGCAAAGTCAGGTTGTGGTGGTGGATTCTCTATTGTGTTGTTGACTAGGCATCTTACCGATGTACCACGAAGCATCTTTTGCTGAAAAGGGTACAAAGATGGGATGGATATAAGTCTATAGCAGAGGTTATAAGTTGAAAGTTGAAAGACTAAGTTATCCTAGTTCTGAATGTATATGGTTCTGACTTTCATAGGGTTCTGGAAACAATTCATAAAGGGAGTCTATATAAAATAAACTTTATGAATCAGAAGCGACTATCCTCGAATGAGGTTTGTAAATTGAATATACGTTATTGGCTGCATGAAAAGGAATAATTCTAACACATAGTGTGAAGTAGTGTATTCACTAGATCACTAAATCAAATAAGGTTATTATTTATTAGTGTGATGCATAGGACGTTTTAGTTTCTTCGGTTGATCCCTCTCTGGAAAACTCTTATTGAATGTCTTTTTGTTCCTCCTTTACTCCTCTGCTAACTGCGATGATGGAGTGGTTATATCTATCCGGGTTTGTCGCATGATAATGGAAATGTCTAAAGAATCTATGGGATTAAATGAAACATTATGGGGTGATCCTTACCGGTCCTCCTATAATTGTGAAATTTATACAAATTTTATATAATTTTAATATTAAATAGACATTCAAATAAGTGATCATACTCTAAAACCACAACCAAACAATGAACAGGAAGTAGAGCATATACCACAAATTATAAGTTTATAAAATCTCAATTATATAAAACCTTGGGAGTATACACTCTGGAGTTATAGACATACCAGAAGGGTCTTTTAAATCATCCCATAAGTTATTTATATAATGCCTAAAATACTCCTATAGTATTTTTAATGTAACGAACTTGGTATGTTTTAAACTTGTTGTTGTCTTATAGTATCATAAAATACTCGAATAGTATTTTAACTTTATGTTCTGATCTAGAATTCCCTTGAATCAAGTTAGGCAAGGTTTAAGACTGTTGCAACACCACGTCACTCCCAAACACAAGTCGGTCATATCTCAAATAAATATAGTTGATCAGGCTATATTGTTCCCAGATATGATTACATAACAGCCTAGGTTTGACTGTAGTGTCCAACCTTTAAATACTTATGTTTTGTTATGTTCTTCTTGTGATACTTGTTTAGTATGTATATATATAAGCATGTATCTATACATTTATAAAATATTGTTATATTTTTTAGTATTCTTTTAGTCAGAGCACTTCGGCCCCATTGTATCTATATTTGTATATCTTTTATAGATTTATATATTTAGTTCACTATAAATAATGCTTTGATACCAATTTATCACACCCCAAAATCGGAACGACGAAAACGTTATGGGGTGGAGGACGTCATGTAAAGTATCATAAAAAATGCAATATATTAAATCAAGCAACAACATATATTGCATTAAATGGTATAGTTAATACAAGTGTGTTCTCTATAAAGTTTAAATGACACAAAAAATGAATGTATTATCAGAATGAGACAAGTCTTGACTAA